ATGTATAGAGTTTGGGGCCAACCTTGTCTACATGAGATCCTGTCTTAAGAAAAGAAAAGCAGCAATAGTGTAAAGATGCTGGCCTGCCATCCACCAGTCCCCATTAGACCTGAGCGTTTTCTACATCAGACTTCAAAGGCGTGGCTTGGGGAGGTGAGCGGGGGAGAGGTAGACCAAGCTTCTGAAGAAACATCTATTGGGATCAATAAATAACCCAGGACCCTATCCATGGCCTACAGGCTGCCCAGCACTTAGACACCAGGAAGCAAGCCTTGGTCCTAAGCCTTCCCCTGGCTAGCCTGTGTCACTCTTCTGGCCAGCCAATCCCAAACTGGCAGCTCTGACCATTGAAAAGTTTTCCCAGGATTAGCCTTAGAGCTTCTGTCCTTGACTCATCTCTTCCTCTACCAAAACTATAGAGAACAACTACCACACATGCCATGAGACACAGCCCTCATGGCTCTAGCCAGCTCTCCAACTACATGACCCTGGAGCTGAACGTTGCAAGTTGAAAGACTAGGTCACTCTCACAGTCACATCCTATATTACTCACAGATGTGCTCCCTGGAGGCTTCCACTACTAGAAAAACCAAGTCTCAGGTCTCTCCTCCAGGTGGTAACAGCCGAGCACTCATGGCCAACTGAGCAGATCTTAGAGTCACCATGTTCTCCCTTCTCTCTTTTAACTTGGGCAGCTGCTTAAAGGAAGCAGTGCTGTAGTTCAACATCTGCAAGCAAGACAGTAAGGACCCCCCAGGAGGAACTGAGTGACATCATGGCTCCTCATTAGAAAGGTCTGGCCCAAGAGCCTTGCTTGGCAGCTCTCCACCCTCAGTATTTCTCAGGCAGTAGCTAGTCAACACTTGTCTCTCTAAGACTTCACTGTCCCCTGTCTGAGCCCACTGCTCTCCCCATTTTCTCGATGCTCAGGGCCTAGCCCCAAGACAAGCAGATCACATGGTGTGACATCTGTGTCCTCCTTGTAGGGCTGTCTCAGAATGCCAATCATTTACTAATGCGGGAAGTAGGTACTGAAGGGGAATAACTGCTCGCTAAATTTAGATGGAAAAAATCCCCACAGAGTTGGCAGAAATATTCTGAGCCTTCCTTGTGGCAGGCAGCCCTACACAGGAAAGTGGGGAGGGGTAGTGAGGATGCCAGGATAGGTTCACATACAGCCTCAGCCTGGGGCTCTGCCTGGCAGGATGACCCACTCTCTTCCCTGTTCAGCATTTTGTCCATCTAAATTGCAGTCCCAGTTCTTTGTATCCAGGAGCAGAGGGAGCTGACTTCTTCCCTGCCCTGGTGGCTGGATGGGGCCTTGCAGGATGCACTGAGACCAGAGGCCACTCAGGCCCAAGCCTGTAGGAAAGAGTGACTCTAGTCCCCAAGTTAAGAGGTCACGTCCCACTGTTCAAGCTAACTGGTAGAGCCTGTCAATTTGGCTTTGAATCCTTGATTGAAAGTAATAGAACTAACTCCATTACTTGTTTCTGTCCTCCAGGGGCATCTAGTAACACTAAATGAAAACATAAGCATTCTGTCATTACCAGCCAATGTCACTGCTTGCCATCATAGTCACCATGACTTGAATGAGACTTTTACACAGTCTCCCGAGATGCTCATTACCCAAAAGGCCTGTGGAGGAGGACTTCCTAGACATGAGGAGACTCCTTCTGACATTTCTGAGCTTCAAGGTGGAAAGCTAAGATAGAGGCAATAATGCTTCAAAAGGCAATCAGGCTAGAGAGTCAGGACAAGGTGGTAGACCTCACCCAAGTATTCATCTTGGAAGCCACTTAGCTCAGCCAGCATTGAATCTTTGCTTAGAAGGTCATTTCTTGTACCTGAAGCCCAGACTCTGGCCCAAGATATGCCACAGCTGACCACAGGGACTTGAGAAACTCTCAGACTAGGCGGAACAGGAACACCTGAGGCTCAGCCAGACTGGGAATCTGAGGAGAGGAAGACAATGGAGCCCTGGGATCTGTAGTTCTGGGGATAGGTGGAGAAGAAGGGCCATAAGAAGAACCAACACAGAAGACAATTGGGGTTCTAAATGTGGCATAGGGCCCCCACAGTCTCTCCAGGAGTGCCTCTCCCTCTCCCACTGACATCTGAGCCTAGGAAAGGCTCCGATTATCTTGTTTCTTGTGCTGAGCAGGCCTGACTAGCAAGACACATTCCTGGCAGGGGATGAGAAGGCCATCCAGAGATGTGGCCAGAAAGGACACTCACAGAGGCCTTTCTCTTGGCCCAGGACAAAAGCAATGCTAAGAGATGTCTAAAGCAGGGAAGCTGGTATCTGTCTGTGCAGCCCAGTCCTTCCACCCTTGGTAGCTCAACATGTTCCTGGTGTCCTTCAATCTTCGATGTCCCTTTGGATAAACCCGAAAGTCATTGACTTGCCAGTTCTTTCCTTTTGCATAAAAATCATGGCTTCTTTTCACCCTCACTTTGCCTGTCTAGCCAGTGGGTGTGGGCTGCTGGCTCTCTGCTGGTAAAAGGATTATATCATCTGTAATGTAGATACAGACACACACAATGCTTTTCTAGAGGACAAGAGAAGGGGTGGGAGCCCAGTAACTTCCAGAGGGGGGTTTATAACCACGTTATTGGACGTGGTTTCAGAGATTCTGCTCACAGAAATCAATCACTCTGCAGACAGACTCTATCCCAGCCTCTTTCTCTCGTCTTCTCTCAACTCCCTCCTGTCCCTGCTTGGAACTTGTACCCCTGGGTCCCTAGGGCTTCACTGCCTGGTTGGACTACTTTTGACCTCATCTACAAGATCAGCTTGATGAGCTACCACCATGGGCCATTTTGTTTAACATACCTGGGTATGTCCCTGAAGGAAGCCACTAGGCTCAGGAGCTTCTTCTGAATGGGTCTATAATTTGCTTCTGAAAGCACGGTACATGGTAGCAAGATGCATCTAGAAGACACTAGCTGAAGCACTGTTGATCAAGGATAGGGGCCAAGCAAGGTGTTGGGCTAAGCACAGAGCTAAGACTGCTTACTCACAGATGGTACCATGGTGGTCTGAGGCACCTGTGATAGTAGATGGCTTCAGCCACAGGCATTCCTCTCTGTATGATTCAATGGTTGCCCAGAAATAAAGTTGCAGGTGTATGCATGTGTGTGTGCATGTTCTTGTGCATCCAAACAGTGCCCCAAGATGTGAACAGGGTTTCCATGTGAGAAGCCTTCAGCATGACCACAGCACTCAGAGCAAAATGCCATAGGACACAGAAGGAACTGTGAACAGCTAGAAAGGGGAAGACAAGAGCTTTCCTTTCTGCCCAACTTGGAACCCTACACCAGGGCTGAGGCTTCAGCAGGTATTACTTTCCAATGTGTCTCCCACGGTTCCACTTACTTAGAAAGTGGCCAGAAACGGGACCAAAAAAAGTGTGCCTTAACAGTTACAGGTTATCTTACTCAAAGGATTACTGCATCACAGAGTGGCAGAGTTGGCCCAGACATGGGTCTCAGGCTGAAGATTTCTCCATCCCCAAGAAAGCCTGTCATCCTAGCTCCTCTACTTTGCCTGGATATGGAAGACGTTGGGACTATTTTCAGTCTTAGGGAAGCAGCTGAGAGATTCAACAGGGCAGGGGTCTTGGAAAGGCAATGAGATGACCTCCTCCCCCCAAAGGCTGTCCCCAAGGAATGGAAAAGAAAGGAAAGGCATGACATGCTCATGGCCCTGTGCTACTGCTGAGTGCCTTGGTCTTTTAGAAAGTAAAGGGACTGGCTAGAATGAGATCAGAGGAGGTGGCATAGAAACAGCAAAGGATAGAGCAGAACAATCATCTTATCCTGAGGTTTGTCAGAAACCACCAGGACCTAAGCATGTAAACATGGCTGCTGCAGGGATGGAGGCCAACTGTGTCTCCACTTCAGCAACAGGAACCTGCACTCAAGTCTCTGTCGAAAATCTTTATTCCCCAACCTCAACAAAGCACAGACTGGGCCCTGATAGTCAAGTAAAGTCCCTAGTGATAAGGAGGAGACTCTATTTCCAGAATCGAAGCAGGCCTGCGCCTTTCAGTTTCCCAGACATCTTCAGATCAGGCTGTCCCTTGCCTTCCTTCTCTGGCAGCAACCACTGTGGGAGGCCTGGGTGGGTGCTCTGCAAGAATCA